CTGTCTAAGGGCATCTCTACATCTAGGGGAGTCTCTGTGTCTAGGGGTGCCTCTGTGTCTAGGAGCCTCCCTGTGTCTAGGGGTGCCTCTGTGTCTAGGGGCATCTCTACGTCTAGAAGCGCCTCTATGTCTAGGGGCGCCTCTGTCTCGGGACGCTTGATTTAAAAGGACATCAACAAAACATTTTTTAAAAAGAAATTGTCTACCAAGCATTAAGAACAGGAAGCAGCTTTCTCAGGTTCCCACCTTGACAATATCGAGGCCTCCTATCAGCTCTCCAGACACATAGAGCTGAGGATAAGTGGGCCAACTGGAGTATATTTTGAGTCCTTGACGCACATCTTCATCCGAAAAGATATCAAAACTGCTAAACTGAATATTATGCTTGTTAAGAATTTCCACCATCTGCTTGCTGAAGCCTATATGTGGGGGAAAAACAATTAGTTTCCCTGAGATAAATTATAAATGTCTTAATCGTTTCATTTCATTTGTCTGCCACTTTTAACAGTGAATTAGCCTGCCTGATGCACTGGAAAAAGACCCAATAATGGTCCTACTACAGGCAGGAAGATCATCTCCCTACCTGAACACCAACTACAGATGCCAAAGGGGACTTTCAGGTAGAGAAAGGCTTCTTCACTTCAATGGCAAGGGCACCGGCTCTGCGTGGCTTGGCCTCCTTAACCGGAAGTGAGGGGTCAGACTAGATCTCTCTAAGAGAACAAAGAGGTTGTGGGCCTTCTTTCCAGTAACCCCAGATGATCCCCTCCTTGGACCTACCTGGAAACATGCCCACCTGTATAGCACTAATCCCCACCCCAACTCTTCACCTGTCAGGGAGAAGGAAAATGGGGCGTCTCTTTTAACCCAGAACACTTCTAGAAACTTCCATTTTTAAGCTCCATCCTCAGTAGCTCACTGAAAGCTGTCGCTGGTTGTCAACGTGCTTTCTCCCTTTTCACGTCCTAACAACCTGATGGGTTCATTTTTAAAACAACTTACATTCCCCAAAGTTCATCATGTGATTTTTACTGCATTTTGATGACAATTTTTTATTACGTACTAGGATTTTATTACACTTTTGCGACACATTTTGTTAGATACTTTTCTGATATTACTTCCTTATGATAACATTAGTACTAAACAATAAGAGTGAACACTCGCCTTTGCTAAGCCTATTAGTCTAGTCCAAAGAAAGGCTATCTGTCTCTCCATGAGAATTCGAGGATACCTCCCCCCAATAGTGTATAGATACACACTGACTTTAAGAACAAGATTTGAACATAAAACAGTAATTGTAACACCTCCTCCTTTTCATTTCAAAATCACTGGAAAGGAGGTGCCTCTTTCAATCCAGCATGTCCCTAGACCAGGCGAGAGCCAGCATTCCTGAAGTCGACACTGAAATCCATCACAAGAATGGCCTTTGCTTGATGTCAGGCAAGACCACCCTCATTTGTTGAAATAGAGATCTCTGGCAGAGCCTGGTACAGTTTCCCTGATCTGCAGTTTACTGAGAGGCAAAGCCTCAGTATTTATTTGTACGGCATCTAAGTCGCTTTTCCTACAACTGCAGCGTCAAGTTCATGTACAGCCTGGAGTAAAGCTCTGCTTCTGAGACTCCTTGTTCATCGGGGAGTTCATTAGTAAACAGCTAACGGCTGATTGCTGATGGTTATTCTGCTGCCAATTCAGTAACTCATTTCTACTGTAACAGGCTGAGAAAAAGCTCTATTTTTGCTGTAGGCAATTACACGTAGCCTACAAGATTGATTGGGAGGCTTTCGTTTTTAAGGGTTAAAGTAGCAGCCTGGAAATGTTATGCTTAGGGATAAAACAGGAAGGCGGCTTTACTCCTAGACCAAAAGACTTATGCGGACTCCAGAAGGAAGGCCCTCACCTGCAAAGCTGGAAACCTCATGTTTTACCTGTGCCGCCACAGACTCACTGTTCAATTTAGTTCATGATAGATGACATAAATAAAACTGAAGCAAACCCAAGTTTAATCCTTAACAAAGACCCAAAAAGCACAGCTCACAAGGAAGGAAGAGAGCTGTCGGCTCCGAGCAGCCCCTCTAAGAGGCAGGTCAAGCCCGGGCGAAGCAGACCTCGACCCGCATCCCGGCCAACGGCTCTCTGTGGAATCAAGTCCGAGCAGCTGCCAGCGAGGCCATCTCAAGCGCTTCAGCAACAAAACGCTCTGGAGAAGAGGCAGTAACTAAAGAGATCCTTTTGGCCCATGTCCCTCCCGCCCTTCAGGAGGCCAGGGCTTGAGCCTCATTCAAATTTTCCCTGATGCCTGAGGCACTTCCCAGGCTGTCTCTTCCTCATCTCTCCCAGCATCCTCTTCCTCTCCCCTGCCATCACAAACCTCCTCCTCCTCTGGACAGCTCCTTCCTCTCTGCTCGAGCCCCCCAAGTGCTCTCCCTAAAGCACAGGTCTGACCAAGTCACTCTCCCTCCTCAAGACCCAGGGCTCCCTCAGGCCTCCACAAGCCGGCTCTGGCTGCTTTCATATCCCTGCCACTCACTGCCATCTCCCACGTCCACGCTTTCACACAGGCTACAGCTCTCCTTGAGGCTCAGCTCGGGGGCTGGCTCCTAACTCTGCTAACACCCCCAGCTGCTTGTGGTCATCCCCCCACCACCACTTATTCTTTACTCATCTTGCATTCGCTTATCTGTGTACACAGTGGCTCTGGAGGGCAGAGGATGTCATTTCCTTTCACCTCTGTGTGCCCAGCTCATGGGAGGTCATGGTACAGAAATCACTGCACAGATCTCAAAAACTCCAATGACTATGTGCCAGGCACTGTGCTGAGTGTGGGGCATACAAACAGAAAAGGCAGACAGCCTGCCCAACGAGCTCCCCTCCTAGCAGGGGAGACGACATCTATGAGAAGTCTCAGCTGCAGGTCGGAGGGAAGAGTCCTGGGCTCCGGAGGGGTGCCGCGGCAAGGCAAAGCAAGGCACATGCTGAGAGCCCACCTTTAACAAGAAAAGCAGAGAAGGCCTAGGGAGCTTAGGCTGCCTCGAAACCGACTCCAGGGAAGACCCTAAAAAGGACTGTTCTGAAAACATCTCTGAAATTTATCAGTCTCTTCACTTGCCTCTCCCTGGTCAGTAAAATGCAAAGAGAGAATCACCCACACTGAATCGTTAAAACCACAGTGAGGGTGCGGCACTAAGTCAGCCAGAAGACATTCAGCAACACAGATTAAAGGGGTCCTCCGGTGAAATGACTATGATATTAATACAGCATGTTGTTCACTACATCAAGGCACTGGGGCAGCAAAGAATTTCCCCCAAAAGGTATTACCCCTAGAAACGACAGCACAGAAAACCTGCGTGTGGCTGGCATCAGCAGCACAGATGGAAAAGGAACCTGGTGCAGGGAAGGGAAGCCTCTGAGGGACAGGTCTGTAGCAGATGCTCATGGGATGCTATCATCGGAGCTCAGCCATGCCCCCAAGGCACCACTCGGAGAGACCGACCCCCTCACCCCAGGAGCCCTCAGAGACCACCAAGGCCAAGCCCGTCATTCCAAAAAGAGGGAAATTGAGGCCTACATCTGGCAAAGAATTTGCCAAACAACACACAGGAAGCAAGATGCCGAGCTGGGATCTCAATCCAGGGATTTCAAAATCAAGGGTATTCCACCATGCCACACTGTCCACGTGACAATGCTATAAAACTAGAAGCAATTAATTATAAGAAAAATAGGTACAAATAAACAGCCCTGTTATCTACTGAAAAGTGAAAAGCTCCAAAAAGGGAATAAAGTTTAGAAGAAATTAAACAAATTAAAGGCACTGGTTTATCAGTACGTCAGCATCCACTACACAGACCGCTGCTCAGAGTGAAGGCGCCTAAACAGGCAACGCCAAGGCCAAGGGAGAATAGAAGTCTGACCTGAAGAGGCAGCACCCGGGAGAAAAGTGGCAGCACAGAAAACCCACTTTCTCTTTGCCTCGTAGGAGGTTAAAGTCATCCCAGGAAGGAAGTAATGGAGGTAATGGGAGGGGTTTCCTTGTGGAGACCCGGAGGGTTTTTTGATTTGGTTGGACTTGTCTTAAGTTCCCATTAAACCTGCACAGATTTCAGGGACTGAGGCCTAGCCACTGACCCACTGCCCGCCAGGCAGCACTATGTCCTCACCTAAAAGGATGGCACTGGATGAGAGACCTTCTGAGCTCCCTGCCCACTCCCAAGCCGGATACCATGAACCTTCTCCTTTATCAGCAACGTGTTCAATTTGTCTAATTTGACCAGACAGGGTCTGAAGGCTGCAAGATAGGTCTAAAAGGCTGAGAACCCTTGAAATAGCGTATTCTCTGCACACCCACAGGCATGCACACATATGGATGTGCACACAGAAATTGCTCTTATTTGCTCAAATCTTTTGAAAGACTGCCTGGGGCACAATGAAATCAGACTGAGACATATAAACACATTGTAATCGCCGAACAAGAGATTTTATTTCAAGGGTAGATGACTCAAGAACCTACTTGGTTTCCAAGCTGACAAGGACCTGAACCTTCAAGTCTAACTTCTCTGTTTTCATAAGGAGGAAACTGAGGCAGAGGAGTTAAATGACGTGCCCAAATTTCCATAACTAGTAACAAGCTTTAACCCAAGTCTCCCGCAGTCTCAGTAATGTTCATTCTCCCATCTCCTCCCAAAGAACTTCAGAAAATTACATCTGCCCTCTGCCTCTGTGTTCACTATCTGCCTAGGGCTTGCTTCCACGCACCCTACGCACCATACAAAACCAATGGTACTGATCAGCCCTAAGGAGGACCTGCATTCTCATCCCAAGCAGTAGTATTCACACTCTTTCCTGTATTCTGAGGGGGGAGGACACACTAATGCACGCATACATAGGCACTTTTTACATGAAGGGAACTGAACATAACCCAAAAGACTTGACTATTTTCTACTACAGAGCCTTGGTAGTGCTATGGCAATGCCAATCAGGCCCTGAAGCCATCACCTCTTACCTACTTGGACAGGCCATTTTTGGCCATCGTCAGCCAGCAGAGGACGGACAGCAGACTGTGAACCTGCAAGCTGATAATCAATAGCAAGGGACACTTCAGGAAGACCGAATGAAACACCCATCATCTATTACAACCTCACTCTTCTGGAATGCTCACTTTAAGCCGAGGACTTTCATAACTTGAGCTACAATTTCTGACAACCCTGCAGAAATCAGAGCCAAATGCAGGTTTGGCCAGCTTGATGAAGTCCCTGGGACCAGAGACCCATCGCTCCAAGCCCAGAGCACCTCATTCAACTGTCACCTACTTTCATAGATCCCATCTGATGCAGATGAAAACAAACACAGCTGGAGTCTCAAACACATCCTCAAAACCAAGGTTCCCCATGGCAGGGAAGGCAGGCCACCGAGGGGCATGAGCTGGGGGGGGGGGGGGGGCGCCACCAGCCCAAGGGAATTCCTTCAACCAAATCCAATCCTTGAAGAATCAGAAAGGTCTGAAGCCTATTGAATCGAAAGCAGAGCAATAAATTCAAAAAACAAGATGGAGACTGAGCACAGAGCGTCTGACTTTCATGTCTCCAGTCACCAGTGCCTCTCACAGAATCGTGACACCTTGACATTAAAAGCGGGGTAAAAGATCTCACCAGGGTTGGTGGCAGCTAGGCAAAGAAAGGCCATGTAAACTCTGTAACTCCTTAAGACAGTCAAGAAGGAGGACCAAGGGGGGCCAGAAGGGTCTGCCAAGAACCACGACCAAGCCCTAGGGAGGGATGCAGACTTCCATCAATCAATGATGTGTCAAGCACTAGGCCAAGCCCTGGGGATACAAAGGCAAAGATGGCCAGCTCTGCCTTTAAGGGGCTTCTATCCTGTTTGGGCCTGTGAGCTACCGTGGCCCTGGCTGCTCTACCGACCTATGGCCCTAGGAGAAGAGCCCCTCTTCTGACCCACAGGAAACTCTTCTTCCAATGTGGGCCTGGCCCCGTGAGAAGATGCTCACCACAGCGGGGTTCTTGTGGCGACCCTTTCATGAAGAGCATGCACGGAGCGGCGTTCGTCAGCTTCTTCAGCCGACGGTCCAGGTCTTCCTTCACGAATTCGGCCCGGGGAAGAACGCTGCTGGAGATGTGGCACTCCACCTTCCTGGTCAGCTCAGGGGCGTGGGCACCATCTAACCGATCCACTCTCTGCGTGTTCTAAGACCAAGAAAGAAGCATTGGCAAGGGTTTACTGTTCAGTCTACACAGGGCCTCCGTGAACTCAAGTAGGAAGGAAACACAACCCACCGGGAGCAAAAAGGGGTTAGGGCTCATTGGAAAGGAAAAGGATCTCTTCACCACAAGGGACAGTGCCAAATCCCACACAGAGACATGGAGGTGATTCTCCCATGTATCAAAGCCACCAGAATGAAGGCTGAGCCCAAACGAAGAGACCACAAAAGTCTCCACCAGCTCCTTGGACTAAATCCACAGTGGCCGGGCTAATCCCAGCACAGACACAAACCGAGCACTCCAGGAGTCACAGCCCCTGGATTTCTGGACCTAAGGTGGCTACAGCCACAAGGGCCCTAACAGAACAAGGACATCATTTGTCTGCAGACGAGCCCTGGCTCTAGAGAAGGTCATGGCTCCAAACCAAGTCGTCCGGCTCCCAAGCTCGGAACCAAAAGTACAGGAGGCCCTCGCACAAATGAGGCTCCCAACAGCCCTTGCTCCGGAGGCCGCTCCGGTCAACCAAGCTGGCCAACTCCAACACCAAAGACTGGGTCGCCGCTCCCAGACAGCACAAAGGGTTCTTGCCCCGTGGGCCTGGGGCCCATGAATGAATGAAACAAACCCCATCATCTCATTAGAGAGGAGCAACAGAAGCCCAAGAAGTGGGGAGCCGTGTGCACGGCGGTGTCCTCAGCCTCAGCACCCCACACCCAAGCCAAGGAAGACAGAAGTCAGGCCTCCGACTCCGACAGAGTTCAAGGTCAGGAGAAGGGGGAGTGGAAAGGTTTCTCCGCTGACCAGATAGCAAGGAGATCTCCTGGCTGGCTTCAGACTTACCTTAAAGAACAGAAAGGTCGGGACAGAACTAATTTCATATTTCTCAGACACTTCAGGAACAGCTTCTGCTTCCAACTTGAAAAGAAGAAAAAACAGACTCGATCATCAGAGGGTTCTGTATCTCAATAACAGGAATCAATCTTACGCGTAACGTCCTTTGAAGAATTTTATGTTTTAAAAGAGTTTGGTGCAAAAGTTTACGACACATTTACATTTAAATGAGACTCACTCGCGGGCGCGTGCACAGTGTCAAAACAGGTTCAGAGGGTTTTATTTTGTTGCACATTTCAGAAGATGCCTGGAGGCTTTTGGTGCACTAGTGACCTAGTAAATTTTCAATCATATGCAGCTCCTACTATATTGAAATCCATAAATCACTGACCCCAGTTATGTCATGATTACAGTGCTTATTTTCTGCCCACAGCAATTCTTCCTGTTTGCTCTATTGACTAATTCCGAGAGGCAGTACATCATGACTGACAGCTGCGGCCTTCTGCAAATTATGAAGCAAAAGGAGTATTTCTTCAATAAACTATTGATGTCTGATACATTTTACTTTTAACTCCTGCAAGGCTGCTAGCCAGCGAGCAGGAAACTTGCAAGGCGACCTGTCCATGAGTCTATTTATACATTTAAATGTGCACTCAGAGAAAAACCAAGATGGCAGCATTATGTTGGATAATTTCATGGAGGCCTCTGAACTACGATACAATGCAATATCTGAAACATGGCTGGGAAAACATATTTAGTACTAGAATTTCTAAATTAGACATTAGAATTCAACTACAGTAAACTACTTTATGTTGAAGTTTATCAATGGGATGCTCTGAGAAAAACTCAAGTACATTATGTTTTTCCCTCAAAGGACTGTCAATTTAATATAAACTTTTTGAAACCAATAAGAGCCTGCATTAACATTATACCTGAAGGAAATAAAATTTATTGATAAATTGTATTGTTAAAAGTTTCTTTAAATATACACTCATTTTTTTTCAAGAATCTGACAGATTTCCAGGGGCCTGAAAATACTATTTTTCTCCAAAGCTTTACCCAGCCAGACTTTATTTCTTTTAATGAACCTTGACTATACAATAGAGAGGGAAGAGTAATTTATCTTTTGTTTGTCTCTTTCACCTTGCACACTCCTGGTTTTTCTGACTCTTCTCCAAGTATTTTATTGTGTTTGTGAGGCACCTTTGAATCAACATTTGCAAATCCTTTCTCTACACAACTTTGCACTTTTAATATTCAAAATCCTAAGGTGAAAATCCTATGAATTTGACACCATCAATTCAAGCTGGCTAATTACTGGAACACTAAAAGGAGACACTAGACCACAGCAGCAGCCACGCTAAGAATGGCAAAGAGGGCTATTGTGAAATTTCGACGCCTCTCACTCAGCTTCCTCGTTTCAGGCCACCGCAGCCCAGACACCCTCCTGCCCACCCCATGAAAACCATGAGGGGCTTCTAGAGGGTGAGATCTACCTGCTACCCCACCATTTTTCCTCCATTCTTTTCACAGACTGAACAGAATGCAAGAGGCCACAGAACTGTCTCCTCCAGCAAAGAGGCAATCTCAGCTCCTTGATGAACACTCATCACACTCAGTTATAAGTTACAAGTGATTTACCATGAATAGTCCCTTCTTCCTCTGCAAAGAGGCAGTCTCTGATCCGATCCAAAATTACATTTGGCACAATAACTGTTAGAAAGACTGCAGGAAAAACAGGCACACTGCTTCACTGTTGGTGGAGACATGAACTGGTACAGTTAACTCTACAAAGAAGGTTGAACTCTGCCCCAAATCTGCAAAGATGTATGTGCCCCCTTGACCCAAGCCAATACCACTACTGGCCCACACATCAAAGAATAAAGAGGAAAAGGACCCACACTTGCCCCCCAAAAAGTTCACAGCAGCTCATTTTTTTCATAATAAAGAATTGGAAGTCAAGGAGGCACTCAAGTAAATGGTGAATAAGAGGGACGAACTTACAGAATACCCATGCAACAGAATATGATTAAGCCACAAGAAAAGACAACGTAAGAGAAACGTGGACCTGGATGAGCTGGTGCGTGCAGAGTGAAGCGAGCAAAGCCAGGAGCGGCAAGGGCCCGGCACCAACAACGCCATCAAGACAATAACGTCGAAAGACGCAGAGTCAATGCCAGGCCCAGCCACGCACGTCCAGGGCCTGACTGCGAAGCACATGCCCTCCCACCCGGGCTCCAGGGACAGGAGACAGACGTTGCGGGACACGGCAAAGGCGTCAATCTGTTCTGCTTGACAATGTCCATTTGCTACAAGGCCTGGGGTTTTCTCTTTTATTGAGAAGGCCTTGGGGAAGAAGGGAGTCAGTAACAGGGTGGACAAGACGACAAGAGCAAGTGAAGGAGCACTTTTAAAAATGCACAGATGACAACCGAAGGGAGCTCCAAAGGAAGGCAAGACAAGCAGAGAAACTTCGGAAGCAACAGGCTCTCACTTATTCTGTACTGTTTCACTGCACGGCTTTGCCTTTCACCTATAATCTCTTTCTGTCCCTCTCTTTGGTTTTCTCTAAATTCAGAATTTAAAAAAATTGACTCGCAGCACCCTGAGGCATCCAAGAGGCATGCAGGATGAAGCAGCGGATGGAATCAGGACAGCCTGAGTTCAAATGTGGCCACAGACATTTACTGGCAAGCAGCGGGACCTGGGCAGAAGCCTTCACCCCTCCTCACTCAGTTTTCTTTGGTCTCTACAATCCCTTCCAGCTTTAAAGCGATTTCCAGGCACGAGGGAGGTCAGGTCAAAATAAAGATTCACATTTCAGAATAGACTCACAGTAAACCTATCAGCTTCAAAGACCACTTTTTGGCAGGAGGGGCAGACCAACTCAAACATATTCTAACGCATTCATGACATGGATCGTCCAAATTCTGATCAGGCACTAAATGCCAGCAAGGAGACACTGCCCTGCTGTTACGCTAATGCCTCTAACCTCATGCCTCCAGGTCCTAGGACTCTCCCCTGGGGGTCCACAAAGACTGATATTCTGAGAATCTTTCAGAGAGCTTCAAACATTGTATATTGATTGACTTTCTGAGTTTCCAGGGTAATCTAATTTCTGTATTTTCTTTGTTCCATCGCTCTTGAAAAGCTTCCTAGGTTAATTAATGAAAAGGGTGATCCTTTAGACTATAATAAAATACAAAGAATGGAGACTTTAGGACAAATTACAATCTACCAGTTTTCTATTGCAGAAATAATCCCCCTTCAAGAGAGTATCTTTATTCAGAAATCATTCCATTATCATGTAGATCTAATCATTGACCTTCTAAAGATTAGATTTTTCTGATTTTCATTTTTCTTGATTTATTTTCCTTTGTATCATTTCTATATTATAAATAATGGAAGCTAAAATAGATTGTTTCTCAAAAAAATATAGTCATGTAGTTAAAACACAATTTGCCTCCCTCCCACAAATATAAAAGGAAAAGAAAGCAATGAAGAAGTGCCCCTTTCACTTCCCCAAACCAAGGAGGCGTTCTGCAGTGAGGAGCTCCTCTGCGTCCAGAGAGAAACATTGCAAACAAAATCAGTGACGTCAGGGAACGGAAATAGCACTTTCAATACTCAGCTCACCCATTAAACACTTCAACACCAAGGGTACCTACTGATCATAATTATAAATATTTTTGCCTACTTCATTAACTGTAAAATAAAAGTGTTTACAATATTTTTTCAATGAATTAGACCTGGACTGTACTAACTAGATGTGTTCAGAATTCCTTTTGCCAAAACACGTCCTTACCTTATGTAACAAGGTTTGGATCATGAAAACCCCTTCAAAAAATAATTTTAACTGCAAGAAAGCTTAGGCCACATATTCCAATTACTTCTTTACTATAATTGTTAAAAAATAAAATTTCATTGTGGCATATGTTATACAGATAAACCTAAAACCAGAAACTAAACAAAAGCAAAGCTAGGCAACTAAACAGCCTGCTATAAAGCCAGAATGAGACACAACAGTTGTCTATCTGAAATTTGTGATAGGTTTTTACAAGCCTCCTCTTTGCGACCGTCCTCCTACTTTCTTCAAGGTGACCTACCCTTGTGGGTTTCACTGAACCCCAACCTGAGATGAAGCCTGGTGCAGGACCTCCCTCCCTGACCAGGGAACTCACCAATGTCTGGAAGCCATCTAGATGATTCACAAATACAAGCCCATCAAGGAAAAGGTCGGGTGGACTCCTCCAAAGAGAAGGAATATTTTTGCAGAAAGTCAACGTTTCTACTTCATACTACAGTGTGAATCCAACCCTAAAGCCACAAAGGGAATTGAGGTGCTCGTTTTCTTAAGAACATCAACTCATTAACTTCTAGCTCTCTCCTTACCTTTTCTTCTCCCACTGCTGTGTTAGCACAGTGGGAGAGGCAGTGCAGCCATCCTGCAAAGGCAGGGAGCTATTGTGTAAAGGCAAAGGACCATGGAAGCACCAGAGTTCTTTAAAGCCAGTTCCTCTATGGAACTGGGGTGACAGAGAGAGTGCGGGGGAATGAAGCAGCAGCTGGTGGGGCATTGCCAAGAAGCACAAAGCAGGTTTTCCTCCCAACAACCCTCCTTCCCAGATTCCATTAGCATCTGCAGAAAGCCAAGAACTCCTCTCCACCTCCCCAAATGACTAGCATGGCCCTCTGAACACCCTCACATCCCAACTCAATTGTCAGCTGTCTGCCTCAGTGGCCCATTGGCAAGCCACACCAGAGAACTCGTCATCCCCCCAAACGGCTCTGCTTTTACGATCCTCACTTCTCAAGTTTCTCTTGATCTCCTGCCTTCTAAACTTAATCCTCTATCCATTCCCTTCATCCCAGGCCAGCACCCCAACTCCGTCCTCCATTTCTCCTGTTTGCAGTCGTGACACCACAGATAAACAACATAGGACAGGGGACAATTTTAAGTCAGTAAAATCAGGGTTCAGACCCTCCCTAGCTAAGTGACCAGAGACAGGTCACTTAGCCTCTTGGAACCTCAGTGTCCCCAACCTCAAAATGGGGATCCAAGTTAGTAACAAGATGTGTGTAGC